CTGGATATCTGCTTGAATCTGCCTTGTGGCTTCCATTTCTTTCCTATGCTGAGCATTCATGGCTTCCCTCATTTTCCTAAGCTCCTCTACTTTTTTTGTCTGTATCTGCTCTAGAATCACTAAGCTTGGTTTTCACTGTGGATGCCTTCTCTGCAGTTGTCTGAGAAATTATTTCTGATTTGATTTTTCTAGTGCCTCATTCAATTGCTTTGTTCTTCCCACGTCAGAGACGCCAGGTGTGTGCCTTTAGGATTGTTCCACCTCGTTACCCCCTGGGTTTGCCTTTGCTGAGCTGGGTATCTGGGCTTGCATCTTGTTTAAGTGCCTTATCATTTTTTCTTTTTTTAGTTAATTCCTGGGGTGATGCTTATAAATTGCCTTTGTTGGGTTGCTTTATTGCTAGTATTTAGAACCCTTACGAAATGACTACTTCTCAGAGATGTGTGCCAGGTGTAGCTGATTTTTGGGTTTTGAGTCTGTTGCAGTATCCTACATCTTCAGTTTGTTGGGGATTAGAAGTTGGTGCCACTTTGGCCCAGACCCTGATTCTTTGGCACTGTGCCACAGAATTTTCTAAGACCCTTAGTGAATTTCATTTTCGGAATACCAGGAAGGATAGCTGTTTAGAACCATGATGTCACTTTTGGCAGTAACAGTAGCAACAATCACAGCCTAGAAAATGACAAAGTTAGGTAACATTATTTTGCCACTTTTAACCATATGAACTTGATTTGTGGTTATGTAGCAAAATCTAAAACAGACCAGAAAATTATATGCAGTAAAGATATTATTAATTTGTCGATTTTACCTTCAAGGGTCAATGTTTCAAAGGTGTTAGGGAAAAATGGAGAGGTAGCAGAAGAGGAAGAGTTAAAAGGCTAGAGTACAAAGTGTGAGTCACACTAACTTTGGGACATTGGTGCGGAAGACTGGAGGGAAAGAGAGAAGCAAGAGAAAAAAGAGGGATAGAACAGAATCAGAACCACAAAGAGGCTAGAAATCACGTTCACGCTCATAAAAACAAGTTCAAATAATGAAGTTGAAAAACAGAAACAAAAAACCACCACAAGAAAAACCCCATGAGACAGAAAAAAGAAAAAAGTCCACTTCCAGTTACGTCTCTGCTGTCACTGATAGATAACATGTGGAGACAGAGTCCCAATTCTACTTTGGAGCGAATAGCATGCTCTGTATCACTGGCCTCCTGAGAATTTCACCTTGGGATCAGATCCTTGACGTTTGTGCAGTTAATTGCACGTTTTCTTGTGTACACTGTCTTACTGAGCTTAGGTAGCCTTTACTTTGTGCGCAGCAGGTCTGCATAATACCATTAGGGTAGTGGTTACTAATGTGGCCGTCTGTGTGGTGTCTATGGGATCACTGCCTCTGCAGACTAGATTAAAGCTGAGGGAACAGACTTCAAAGCCTTGCAACAAGATCACAAAAAGTCTCCATTTCCTTGCTAGTTGATAGTGGACTGGTTCTGCAGACTCCGAAAGTTGATAAAGATATACAAGCACTTGCTAGGGCCATAGCTGCATAGCAGATGCCAGGCTGGTTTATTTGATGGAGGGAAGAGACTGGTCTAGAAGCACAGCTGTAACTGGCACCATCACTTGGTTATTTGTATAATAGCTTCTCCATGATCCGTCCATTTTCTCTTCAGGCCAAACAGGCATGTGGAATTGGGCTGTGCTAGGAATGACCGCTTTTACACCTTTCAAGTCTTTGATGGTGGCTCACCTCCGACATGCAGTGTTGCTTTCGAATTACTGTTCTGGCAGTGGAAGTGGGAAATGTGGCTGACTTTTGCATTCCGGCTATCACAGTCCTCACTCCACAGGTAGGAAGGCTAATACGGGGATTTTGTTCATTGCCAGAGATACACGTTTCAATTACACGTTCAAGTCTGAGGATATGACCACAGAGCCTCTGGGCCAAGTCAGTGATAGAATTAAGCCAAAACTTCATTTCTTCCTGGTCTCCCTAAATTTCCTGGGCCTCTTTGCCGTCTTTCTTTACTCCCGTCTCCAGCCCCAGGCAGCAATTAGGGTCCATAGATTTCCATTTTCTGGAAATGTCACATAGATGAAACCACAGAGTGTGTGCTCCTTTGCACCTGTCTTCTTTGCTTTAGCGTTAGAGCTTCCCCACACATAGCAGCCAGTGCTCTTTCTGAAATTTTTTTTTTTTTTGTCTTTTTGAGACAGGGTCTCGCTATGCAGTTCAGGCTGGCCATGATCTCACTTTGTAGCCCAGGCTGGTCTCAAACTCACAGCGATCCTCCTGCCTCAGCCTCCCGAGTGCTGGGATTCCAGGCCTGCACCACCACGGCCTGCTGAAATTCTTTTAAGGTGATTGCTGAGGCCACTGCTTGCAAGCCTTCTTTATTTTCTAGCACAGACATTTAGTGCTATGTATTGGCCCCTTGGAGCTGTTTTAGTGGTTTCCTTTTTATTCTCTAATTTCTCCTGTAACCTAGGGTGATTTAGGAGTGTATTGTTTAATTTCCAATTATTTGGGGGATTTTCCAGGTACACTTCTGTTTTTTCTAATTCTGATCAATTTCAGGGTCAGACAAGTGCTGAGACTGGTTTGAGTTATGCCACCGCCCAGCACATGGCAGTGACAGCTGGTAAGCGAGTTGAGAAATGTGCTCAGTGGAATTCCAGCCCTCGCATCAGAGGAGAATGTAAAGGAGTGGTCTTGATGCCGAGAATTAATAAGCAAACTACTGGCATCATGTAGATTTACTCTGCAGATAGGTCTCTACTTTCCTCTTGTACTTATTATAATGATGTGCTTTTACTCGATGCTCTCAGAGACTTTCTCAGGTCAGAATTTCAGTTCACTAATTTACTCTTCAGTTATAAACATTCTTCTGTTCAGCTCATTAACTGGTGACCATATTTTCAGTTTCTAAGAACTGTTTCCTTTTCACATCTGCCCACCATTCTTTTCTGGGTATCTCTACAAGATTTTTCTCCAGCTTATTTTGTATATCTTGACTTAGATAGTTAAGATGGTTAACTTTCTAGAAAGTGGGGGCAGCAAGTGCAAAGGTCCTGAGGCAGCAAGAATATTCAAGGAAGAACTTTTTCAATTTGAGTTTGTATTTCTGAAATACTTGATGATTCTTAGTTGTCTGCTCATGTTTGTAATTGATGGTCTGCATCAGTGGTTCTCAATGAGGGTAGAATTTTGCCCCCAGGCAGGGTGGACATATTTAGCAACAAACGACAACCCCCCCCTCTTAAATTTTCATTTACCCTAATAAGTGTATATCCATCAACAGATAAATGGGTAAAGAACATGTGGTATACTACATAGTGGAATACTATTCTGCCATAAAGAAGGATAAACTTGAATCATTTTTTGCTTTGAAAAAAATGGATCCACCTTACAGCCATAATGTTAAGTGATGTAAATCAGACAGCCAAACTTCAATATTGCTGTTTTCTCTTAGATGAGAAACCCAAAGTATAATTATATTAAAGAGCAAATAAAAGATAGATAACAAGAAACAGGGAGATAGATCTTTTGCAAAGGGGAAGGGGACCAAGAGATAGAGGGAGGGGTATTGGAGAAGGGGAAGGGGACATAAAGAGAATTGAGAGTGTTAGGTACATTTACCTACTCCACAACGAATGCAATTACTATGTACTGCAAACATGTACCAATAAAAATAAAACTAAGAAAAAGATAATGAGTTTAGTGTGTTTACACTTTGGAATGGGGAAATGTCTGGAGACATTTTTAGTGTTAAAACTGGTAGCATGAACAACCCAAATGCCCATCAACTGAGGAATGCATAAAAAAGATGGGGTATTTTTATAAAATGGGGTGTTACTCAGCTATAAAGAAAGATAAATTTGAGGCTTTTGTAGGTAAATGGATGCAACTAGAGACCATACTCATAAGTGAAATAAACCAGACTCACATGTGTAAACATCATATTGTCTCCATAGTGTAAGAACCTGAAAGAGTACATAAAATCTGAAGGGTACAATAGATATCGTGAAAGGGAAAGAAACTGCTCAAAAGGAAAGAACTGGGATGAGGGAAGGGAGAAAAAAAAGAAAGAAGGAAGGGGAAAAAATATATATATACACATATATAATTATAGTACTAATTTCTATTGGTTTTTTGAAAGGAACAGTTAATGCTTAATTTTTAGATCAATCGTTCATGCCTATGTGTGGTAATCTGAGCAACTACTTTGAAGATAACAATATGCAATATAATAACCATTATTGATTTCCCATCATCTTGTTTTGAAATTCTGTATTGTTTTTATTGTTTTTTAAATTCTCTTTAAAAAAAAAAAAACCTGGCTGGGGGTATAGCTCAGTGGCTCAAGCAGCTGACTAGCAAATGCAAGGTCATGAGTTAGATTCCCAGAACAAAAAAAAGAATATTGTTTTTCCCAGAAGAATTAAAGACATCATACCACAGTGATATATGTACACCCATATTTATAGCAGCACAATTTGTTATAGCTAAATCTTGGAAGCAACCCAGATGCCCATCCAGTGAGGAATGGATAGAAAAGATGTGGTATTTTTATACAATGGAGTATTACTGAGCTATAAAAAATGATAAACTCGAGGCTTTTGTCGGTAAATGGATGCAACTAGAGACCATTCTCATGAGTGAAATAAATCAGACCCAGATGTGTAAACAGCATATTGTCTCCTTGGTGTAGGAACCTGAAAGAATAAGTAAAACTTAAAACAAACAATAGATGATGAGAAAGGGAAAGAAATTGCTCAATGAAGGAATGACTGGGATGAGGGAAAGAAGAAAAAGACGGAAGACAAAATATAAATATATGATATGAATAGCTGCGATGACTGTATTGCTGATGTCTGATGGTATATTGAAAGGAATAGTTAATGCTTAAAATTTTTTATGTTCTGATCAATTTTGCATGCTTGTGTCTGGTAATCTGGGTAGCTGATTTGAAGGTAACACTATGCAATGGAATTACCATGGTGAATTCCTACCATCTTCTCTAGTGAAACTCTATTATCTCTAATGTTTTATCTAATGATTTTCTTATTCTCTTTAATGGTTTGAACAATCTTCCACTCTTACATCTGGTAATCTGAGCAACATAGTTGAGGATAGTGATATGTAATGTAGCAACTGTTAATTCATATTGTTTTGTCTCGAGACCCTGTATCACTTTGAATGTTCTTGCTTTGATTCGTTTATGTTTGTGATACTGCTATGCTGCTAGTGTTCTATTTTTTATTTGTTTGTGTCTCATTTACTACTCTATTTAAAATAAAAAAAATAAAAAACGCTGGTAGCATGGGTGCCGCTAACGCCCTGCCGCACATAGGACAGTGCCCACCTCAGAGAATTCAGCCCGAAATGTTCATGGTACCGAGCGTGAGACAGGTCATTCCGCAGCAAACAGTGGGTTTCTTCCGCTTAAATAAGAACCCTGGTGATAAATAGTCACTTCAATGACAGGCTCTGACAAAGGGCGAGGCCCAGGACTAGGCTGGATATACTGGTCACTTGTTTCTCAGGCACCTGACATCTCCTTAGTTAGGCTTCCTCTAGAAGAGCTTCCTTTGTGGGTCCTGTCTCCTCTTCACTTCTTGAGACCTTGGCTCTGATGGGCTTGGGAAACCTAAGATTTTTGTGTTTTGTTTTTTTCAGCTTCTCTTCTCAGCTGGGAGGGAAGATCCTTATGGCTCTTTATGTGCTAGGTGTTTCTAGCCTCGAGATACTGTAATACTGTGGTGAGTGCGCATCAGTCTTCGTGGTTGTGTGCAGTGATTTGTGCAATTGCTGAGTCGAAGTGTGTGTGAATGTGAGATGCCAGGAGACAGGCAGTTGTTGTCTTAAGACAGTTCTCAAATGAAAGCACTTGCTCCTCGTTGCCACCTCAAATGCAGTGGATTTTGATAATCAAATATTTTGTTCTTTGCAATATTAGTGGGTGAGTAACTGAATCTTGTTTTAATTAAATTTCTGCACGAGTGAGATTGAGCATCCTTTCAAAGCCATTTGTATTTGTTTCTAGAAAATGATCTTAGATGTAACCTGAATCTTAAATCCTTCCTTGAATCTGTTTTGCAGTGCTTTTGTTAATCTTCCTACCAATTCATATATTTTGTCTCAATTTTTAAATAGCTATTGAGTAGCTTATACGTTTACATGTTCCAAAATATCAAAAATTAAATTGGCATGGAGAAATCTCATCTCCATCCCTGTCTTCACCTATCCTGTTGGCCTTCATCCCTCAAGTAACTATTTTTTATTAGTTTTTTTCCTTTACTTTTCCAGTATCTACATGCGAATATAAGCAGATATGTATATAGCACTTTACTCTTCCTTTGCTTATTTTTTTTATTCTTTTCTACAAAAGGTAGCTCATTCTACCCACCGTTCTGTACCTTAGTCTGTTCTTTTAAATATTTATCCTAGAATTCTTTCCACGTCAGTGACCAGAGATCATTTTTGACAGTTGTATAATATTGGGTTGTGTGACAACATTACAGTTTATTCAACCATTCTCTATTTTAGACGGCTGAATGGTTTCCATTCTTGATATTATAACCAATGTTCCAAATTTGTATATGTGTACATGAATAATAGATACTCATATTTTATAGTTTGTGTTGTTGAAGTTTGCAATTTTTGCAATCTGATTGGTGGGAAGTGGTATTTCTGTGTAGTTTTAATGCAGATCTTTCACGTGAAAGGAGGTCGAACATTTCATTATGTATTTAACTGTGATGTACAAGTTCTTCCTCTGTTGTTGGTGTCCTTAGTCTTAAATTCCAGGAGAAAGAGAAGAAAAGTTGTGCAATTTTCCCAGACTGT